AGTCTCTTTTTTCGACCGAAACTTGTGGTATCGAGTGAAGCAATTTCTTTAGCTTTTCCTATGACCCGACTCCAAAAATTATCTCGTGGATTATTGTCTTCGTTTCGTTTTCGTTCTTTTTTCTGTAGAATGTCTAAATCGTTGCGAACACTGCGTGAACAATGATTTATGGGAAATTACCGGAATAACCAATGAAGCAATCACACTGTTGAGTCAGTTATTTTCTGGTTTTGTCAGTTTAGCTTTATCCGTCTTCTGGAGAAGCTGTTTACCTGACTGTTTCTGGATTTCTTCAGTGAGAAAGGCATACGCAAAAAGAATAAACTGTTGGTTAGTTCAAAAAACCAACTTGACGTGTTTGAATATTTTGTTCAAAATACTTTATACAGCCAAAGTCAAATGCACCCTTATCTCCTGGCAACAGAAAACGTAATCAATTAAGCTGAAGAGCCATGACCAAAGATGATGTTAGAAACTGCAACCAAGTGGCTCAAGTCCAAAGTCAACAGTATGGTAATGGACATTGTTATGGTACCTTTCGTTTCTCATCCTTAACCCTTTTGCGGCTGAGTATCTTCCACAAAACTGAGGATCACTCATTCCTATAGGTACTCTATTTTTGGTCGGTTGTACACATCCAGGTGCTGAAGAAAACCCAGTGTTAAAGAACACTGCCTTGTTCAGTCACTTGAAATCTATTCGTTAACAGCTCTGTAGTGGCTGGATTCAACAATCAATGTGGAAAAAGCTGAAATGCCTCACTAACCCCCCCTTCACACTGAGAGGGGAATATCCATTGGTTTCTCTGGTTTCATAAAAAATTGGCGAGTTTACTGATATCAGGTAGTGGTTGAACACAAATGTAAAACTAAAATTTTAAGCTTGCTTAGAGGCCCAGGTAAAACGAAACACTTATTTGCAAAGAATGTTTAGTCTACCTGGAGGACTCACAAACAAGTGTGGGTCAGCATTTTTGCCAGGGATTGTCGATGGTCGCAAGTTATCCTCGTGAGAAACAGCACATGGGCTACGGGAAAGAAATCCGTTTTTGTGTGTTCAGTGCATTTCAATTTATATAAAAAGAGAACACAGGGATGTGCAGCACGGTAAAGCATGCTACAAAGTGAAATTACAGTGGCTTTCTTCCATCTTCATCAAACACGAAAATATTACGTTTACATGCCTCAAAAAGACACTATAGTTCTCCAAATAAACTATCAATTATTAGGATCGATAAAGTTTTAATTGCCAGAACCGGTAATGATTAGCGTCAAGAAGCAATTTTTTCAATAAAAACAACTGGTCTCTGGAATCCTGACCCGTTCAATAAATGTTGAAGTGCTTTTTTACAATGCAACGCTCAAAATATCGTGTGAAATTAAGCCTTATATGTCAATTGGTTGCAGGTTTTTCTGGGCATAACGTATGCTGGTTTCAACTCTCCGACGCCTTGATAAGGATCGCGCATCTAAGATAGTCGTGTGTGCATTCGACTACCATAGATGTAATTCTGTCCCAGCACCTTTTCTATGAATAAACACAGCACAGACAACGGATTTACAAACCATGTAGCCTGTAATTTTGCTGGCAGGTAACAAATACAAAAGTCTTGGTTCCTAACAAGGAAGCTGGCATTGCACAGAGACCTATATAGTGCTCTATAACCACCCTAAACCTACTTTAATTCACTGTATTTTATGCTCATGCATGCATATCTTCAAAGCATCACTCTAATGAGGAAGAATCTCTAGAACCGTCAGGTTTTAACATTCATATGCAAACGGGATTAGCGAGAAACAAGGTCACTCAACAACTGTCAGGTGGGACTTTGGAGATGTAGATAAATATTGAAATTTCATGTTCTGTACTACTTACTCAAATGTGGGGTTGTGGTATATCCGAAATCCTACTTGTGTGTAAGTTAGATGGAACAATTCATCAAGGCCAAACTAACCAGCCGGTGTTGCATAGAAGAATAGCGTGCACCCTAGATATGTTATTAGTCGATAATCTTGACAGTTGGCCAGGGAACGCAGATTGATAAAAAAAGGAATTGCTCTCCTGTTTACGAACTGATCAACAAGGAAGCGAAAAGTGGGCTTTATACCAACCTTATGCAAAAAGTTTCATGCCCACAAAATTCCATTAATAAAAGAGACAAATTAATTTTTTCTAGACACTTTCTATCAGAACATCAGACTTTTGTGACACGCCATGCAGATATGTACAGAGTTTAGAGCGGAAATGGATGACAATTGGTGGAGAATCAACCTACTAATTAAAGGTTCTTCCGATGTTGTAGAAGTGAGACAGAAGAGTTCTCGAAGCTCCCGCTCGTGCACATCCTTTGAAGGTACGCAGAGTAAGATTGATCTGGAAACACTCAAAAGGGCAAATAATGAAATTGTGTAGAACAAATGATTCTTGTGCGTACATGTACAAAGCATATACATTTTTCGGTAGAGAGCATGTAAAATAAATAGACTGCTTCTGCTGGACCCAAAGAGGAGAGAAAGTAATGAATAACGAAGCTAAGTTAAAAGGATTAGAACATACAAAACACAGTTTTATAAAAATGTGGAGAGCCTTCTGTTTGCTTTTTAAATGAAAGAATTACTGACTTGGTTGAAGCTTCGAAATTGCTGCATTGTCAGGTGAGGTGCCGCATAGGACTCGCAACGGGGCTTCAGCGAGTGTTGCCGGGTGGCTGAGTTTTAAAACCGATAACAACATGGATACTCCTAGATTGCTGCACGATATCACCCACAAAGCTGCGGTCGGCAATTTAGTGGAAATCTTAGATACTGTGGACCAGAATGCGGTGCAACTTTGACAACTCCAAGACTATGGATACGGTCATTACGGGCGATTGCAAGAGTAGTATTTCAGCTAATGTAGTTTCGCTGTGTCCACAGGAAAATTCTCTTGGCTGGAGTGACGTTTCTGGAATGGGCGTTCATATGTACGACCGTTTTGTCGTGACGTCACATTACATATTGGTTCCAGGAAATTAACTGAAACTCTGCCTTATAGCTATGTAGGGTCGCCCGATGAAGTACACCTAAAAGAACAAAACTTTATTTCCTTCATCTATAAAAGAAACGAGACGTCGCGTCCAAATTAACCACACAATACAGCAAAATTTCTTTTTTGTCATTTTTAGGAATGGCTGTCCAAAATGACATCCAATTTTTCGCTATGCTTATGATAACCGGTAGTAAAGGTTCACAGAAGCTGGAAGCACGTTATAAGGGTTTCGAATGAAAGTCTTATTCAAGGAAAATCATCGCTCAGAATATCATCCCTCTCCAGGTTCGGACTATTTGAGGCGCAATACTCCCACGTTAGGGCAATTTTTGTAGATGTTCACATTGGAGGTATCGAAAACAGCACCCCTAAAGCAAGAAATGCTCGGAATGGAAATCGCTCAGATTCATTCGGGTGGCGATGATGGAAACCCATGGTGTGTTATTTCAAAGTCGACCACATAAAACATGTTTTAAATTCTCGGTTTATAATCTGACGTTTCTCAAAATATCGGCACCAGCGTACTTTCTCGGGGAACCTTAGCTCAAGGATAAGAAACTGCATCTTGCCAAATGAATGAGTGTTTTTTCGATGAAGCTAATTCCAAAGGCTGTATGATCATAATGCGGGACAAATTTATCGATACTGCAGAAGAATTTCGGCTCCAAACAGCACATGAATTTGAAATATATTTTACGTTAAGTGATTCCACCAGAAATTTTATGTTTGTGCCCTAGCGGTGCGGAAATACTGATGAAACAGCGTAAACTTATATGACAATTGTATGCTCCTGTTAACCCAGTTAATACGATCGTTTTGCTTTCACTGTCAATGCAAAACGAAGCCACAATAAACCAGTAAAGCTAAATTCTGAAGTGGTTGCTATCAGCTCCAAACAAGAATGATTGCGGGGAACCTGGTGACGTCGTCAGCGTGTGCTGACTTCTACTTGACTGGAAGCAAAATTTCTGTAAGTTAACTGCCAAGCTTGGCGAACCGGTCAACAGCCAGCTGACCAACTAGATGTCTGAAGAACCACTTCTTCGCACGTCGGTTCTGGAAGTCTGCTTTTTTGACTGGAGGTTACGACGAAGTGATTGTTACCGACGTACATGTTTACTTGATGGAGGGGAATCGAGGTTTTGGTAATTTTGGGGCTTGATTTAACGTATCACTAAACACAACTGTTGCATTGCGTAACTACCCGTGTCGTTTAAACTAAGGGCGAATCGCCACAAGTGTTCAAGTGTTCACGCATACCTGTTCAACATTTAGTGCTGCTGTCAACATTGACATGCCTTGGCTTGTGTTTGTGTGCTAAACATTAGAAAGTGAACTAGACAGTTAGACCGTAGGTAATCATTATGCGTCATTGGTTATTTTTACTTATAGAATACGCCAGCTATCAGTCTTGTGTTGACAGTATGCAACCCATTTTTTTAAACCAAAAAAGTCGATTTTGGCAGCTCATAAATGTTTACAAGACCAATTAGAATAACTAAAACATCAATCAGGGTAACTGACTCTCATGCACTGCTTAAGCCGATTAATAAGCAGAAATACAAATTTTTCGACATGGCTAAAACCCTCTATTTCTGCAATAAACGTTTGGGCAAATTTATCACGGTACCTTTATTTCCTGCTGGAAAATTAGTAGGCAGAAACGTTTTCATGGAATTCTATCCACACATGCTTCTTCCCAAAGTCTTCGTAACACTAAACAAGCTACCAAACTATTTTTCTCATTGATTTGGATACACATACTAAATCCTTTCGAAGCCAAGTTAACCTGATAAACAAATTTATCCCCTGTTTTCAACTATTTTTGATTACCTAAAAGCGTGTTTTTGTGGTGTGATGTTATTTTGCATGAAATGAGTGAAGTGTGCCTCGTTCAATTAAATGTCCCGGTTATTTCGCAGTTATACCTGTGAAAGGAAGAAGGCCTTTGCTGCGGAGTTATTTATTCGGAAATGCCAACTGACCGGTCACAGACCATTGAACAGGGAAGCAAAACTCTAATCTGCATCTTAGTTACAAAAACTGGACACAGATCTTCTCCCGAACGAGTCTTCCTAGAGATTCGTTGCCTCCACTCATTCGTCGGTCAAATCCAAGCAAATGTTACAAAGTGGCCCCACGAATTCCGCAACAGAATTCCCTTTTTCAGTCGACGCAAAGCGAAACTCTTCGAACAACACATACTACTCGCGTGCCTCCCGATCAGATACACCTGTAGAGTGTATCTAACTATGTGTAAACGTGTCCCATTGAAGTGGTTTCAAGCTGTTAACTCTGCACAACGATGTTTTCTAAGCAAACTGAAGAACTGAAGTCTTTTGGTACGGACGATTCTCATGCTCCCCGTATGATAGACAGCCAACTAGAACCGGAGAATTTTTATTCCTGAGAATAATAGATCGTGTAAAGATGTGCAAACACCGTGCCATATATATATATATATATATATATCGCCTCTCAGCTTTACAAACACTGAAATAGCAGAACAAGTGTTTGGGAACGTTGATCTGTTTTCAACCTTTACAAGTGAGACAGATGACGTTTGGTAAAGTTTTGAAAAAATTTGAACTTTAAGACTGCTTCCGAGTTGCACTAACCAAACATGTCTCTATGGGTCCAACGAAGCGCTTGTGGTTTCCTTGGTTTGGTCTTGGTCTAGCTTCTGTCAGTATGAAGAAACGCCAGACGGAATGTCTATCGATATCTTCACTGTACAACATCTCAACTACAACCCCAATTGGCTTTGTCAAGATTCTTAATAGGCTTCAGGTCACAACACCTGTAGACTTTAGATATCAGTGTGTACGAGAGGGGGGCTGATGTGTTCCGAGATATTTCGTTATGATACCAAACATCATGAACCTGACTTGTCAGGATTTTTGAGGTTTTCGAAATCAATTAGACTTCTTTCTTCAAAACAAACATCTCCGATTTATTAGCGGAAACAGTATTTCCGAGGCAGAATGAACAGCGAGAACCTTACTGTATGATATTTGCACCGGGATAATGATGCATTTTTGTATTTCCATGGAGAAACTAGAAAGTTGGAGAATATTGAGTACCTCTGCGTGATTGTATTCTGCACTTGATATGTCAACAGGGAAAGTTTCCAATGAATGAGGTTGCGAGCGAATCTAAAACTAAATTTTCGCGAAGGCAAGAGAAGTCTGGTTCACTTAATCAGGAGTATAGTAGACCAGTTGTTCCTGCAACGCAAGCACCTAAATAGTAACGAGTGCATATAGGATCTTACTTGTAGCGTCCGCATTTAGAAATTAGTCGTCCATATTTGAAACTACAAACTTCTCCCTCTCCGGTCCAAAGGGTTTTCCCTTTGTTTGCACTTGTGATAATGACTGTGTTCAGTAGAATCATTTCTTAATAGCAGGTCTTTTTGAAGAGGGTATCAGTTAGCACATGTTTAAGGTGAATGTGTACTACTATCGGTTACAGCATGAACTTGGAGTTTTAATATTTCGGGAAAAAGTCAACACATCCGAAATTCAAACAACCAAAGTGCAGATGATTTGCGCTCCCTAAAATCCGCCTTTTCCTCCTACAATTCATGCATACAGATCCGCCTTTTCCTCCTACAATTCATGCATATAGAAATACACTTGAATTTGTTTTTAACTTGGGAATGGTAACCGTGCGTGAAATACGATGCAAACAGCACATAATCTTATGTAGTTTACTTATGGAAACGGTAAAACATTCTCAAGCTTTTGTGGCCTAGAATTTTTGCGAATTTTCTGTGCAGTCACAAGAGGCTTAAGTAGAAAGATTGCGAAGCCGAATGTTGCGTTTTCAAGCACATCATAGCAGTTTAGCTGATGAAAGTAAGAAATGGGAGAATAAGTCTGCGGATGGTCATTATTAGTTCGCGTAGCTTTCCGTTTCCACCGGTTGGCTTGCAAAGAGCCACAGGTTTTCCGATGCATCATTGCACGGCGCAAGACAAACTGGAGAGTATAAGGCCAAAGCACGAGCGGAAAATGATGGGTCCTAACCGTGTTCAATTTGCTACTAAAACTGCAACAATCGTAGAACAAAACAGTCTATGTGGCGCGGTAATCCCGCTAAGCGATGTGTTAATAAAAGTGTATAAGACAGTATCCGGCCAGTTTAGTTTCATTTTACACGTATTTCCTCTCAGAAAGTTCCATTCAATGACATCTACGGAATTTGAAAGCGGTATGCTTTTGTTCACCTAGTGATGAATTTGTTTGCTTGACGAATGCAATGCAATGCAGTGCGGTGCAAGATTGATCTGCAAGATCTGATTTGTCTAACATTAACGCTTAATTTCTGATTCGGTCTCACATACATAGACTCCTTGTCCATCATTTATCTTTTGACGCAAACCGGGCTCAAAAAGCTTTGATGGAATAAGTTTCAAATTTGAAAGTGTTTATTTTATATCCTTATATGGACGGTGTGTGGTAAAATGTCATCCACTTAGGATGAAATAACTCACGTGGCCACTGATAATTTCCAGCACCCTTGAGAGACCTGACGATGGCCGGAGTTTTAGTCGAAAACTTGCCACAGTTAGAAAGTTAAACCGCATTCGGGAAGTCAAAATCTCCTAGTGCTATCGATAGAGTGGAAATTCCGATTTCACCAAAAAAGCCAGATTTTGTGGCACACGCGCAAGCAACATTCTCAGTCAATTCATGTGCGCCAACGCCAGTCGCAAAACCAAACGAGAGAAGAGGGCAAATGTATCAAGCCGGATAGTGTAATTTGAGACTATATTTTGAATTTCCGAGTGTTTTATTACCAAAAATGTTAGACTCTTGTAGGTACTCGAAAATTGGAAATTGCTGCACTCAATCCACCAACCATAGAATCCGTTTGTTCTCCTCGATTGGCTGTGGTTGTTATTCGTGTATCTCACAGACTCACGAAATAATGGCAGGTTCGTCAAATGAGAAGTGAATGATACGACGGTCACATGTCTTGTAATCCAATAAAATGGTTGAACCGTAATAAAATGCTGAATCTAATCAGACTTCTGCTTTACCGTCTCCTATCGGGCTAATCTCATAAGCCTGACATTATGCTCAGGGTTAGCACAAGTGAATAGTTAGCTGCAATTTGAGTCAGTCGTGCTTCAGGCAGAACGGACATTCTTCCGGGGACAATAGATATCCTGGTAGAAGTGTGAACAGACAAACTGTGTCAGGTGATGTTTGTCAGCCGGATCTGTACACAAAAGCTGATGAAGAGAAGTGGTATTAAGTTATGGCAACATTCCAGACTGAGGCTCAAGTTGCTATAGCCATTTTAATTTATTCAATGTGTGCTTGATTCTGTTTGCTATGTGATTGTGCACTTGTTGCATTTTATGCCACAGTTAATCTTGGGACCGAATATCGCTTATCAGAAACGCATCTGCTTGGGTCGTTTATCAACCAAAATTACTTTCCTTGGTCGCATACGGAACAGTGGTACAGCGAGACCTAAAACTGAGTTTTGAAGTCATTTCTGACCGTCCAAATTCACACGAATTCAAATAGGTTTGTAGACCGAAAAGGTCGACAAATGTACTAAATCATCACCATCCATTAAAATCTGTTGTACTTTTGAAGCATTCAGGTTTGGTATTCTGATTAGTCAAATCTTACGTCCACTGGGGAATTAAGATTAGTTAAAACAAGGTGGACCATGACATGACGAACATTTTGCAGTGGACCACAACCATGGCATTAATTCCCAATGGAATGGTTCCATCTTCCAATAGATGCGGAATTTTTCCTACCGTGAGATCGATTCGTCACCGATTACCTAGATTAGTCTCGTTTTGTCATCTTTAACATATACGGCGAACACCCTACTGCAGGGTACCTGCAATAGTCTATTGCTCTTTTCTCAATATTATATCTACTGGATACAAGTTATCCTTGCGAAGTTTCAAGGTTACCGCTCCAAGTAATGGGTGTCGCCCTCAATACATGAAAGCTGGCTAGGAGAAGAAGAGGCTGAAAATCAAATACAGACACAATAGGTCACATGGCTACAAACAACAGCCTACGAGCTAAGAGGACCTTTCTCGAAGTAAAGTGAATGTTTCTGCATCTGTCACAGAAGCCTAGGTAACTATGACAACCTAGTAAGATGTGTCGATATTCTTCGGCCTGATAAGTATACTAAATTGGATGTGTCAATGAACTGACCAAGAGAGGATGAAGCCTTATGGATATTAAGTGGTGCCTTGAAGGAATTTTAGTCTGTTTTCTAGCCTGCGTGGTGTGACATGAGAGCTTATGATTAAATAAACCAAGACAAAACATCTTAAAAATATCGAAGTATTATTTTTTTATATAGACAGTCAGTAGATTATGCGCCTTCAATGTTACTGAAAAATCTAAGTCCCTATTTGAACTTACTCTAGCTTTAAATGTGGATCCTAAAATTTCCACAAGAGCTATCAGATGAAACTCTAATTCATGAGTGATTTCATCCTAGTCAAATAATTGTGCGGTTGTCTCGTTTACATTTTTTAGCATTTCATTCAATTTTCTGCTTCAGTAGCACAGTAATATCTGTGGACTGTATAAGTCTTGGAGATCGGAATCAGCCTTCTAGAAGACAGTCAGCTCAGCCAAATATATATAACCAAACACACGATAACGCAGAATTGATCAGCGAAGTTTCATACTAAATGTTTCTAGTTTCATGGCCTGTACGCCGGTAGTTAACAGTTCATAATATCCAGACAGATCTAGCGTAATCGGAACGGCATAAATGTTAGAGTATATCACGTGACTGTCCGCGGATTAACACACACCGAATTATTTGTAACCGGACTTTTTGTTTGAGCGTCTTGCTGCATGAGACAACTGTGTAACCCAACAATATCGTTGCTGAGCGTCGTTCCGCACTGTGTAGTTGCAAATGAATAAACGTCAGCTGGAATCAGGTTTCTGTTAAGCATCCGTGAAGATCATGTATTGATGCACAAAACAGGCACAGATTTCTCTTTTTAATCGGCATCGTATTGAGGATTGGCAGCCTTCACGATAGTCTTAGCAAGGAAACAAGATCACCTATGTTCCGAAACCCATCTCATTCGTTTTCGTAAGTACCTTCCAATAGATGTAGGCTGGGACATCCTGACGAAGTGATGGACTCGAAGACCGTTTTACATTTGCTGACAGACAGGAATGCAAAGGTGTGCAACCTAATCGGCGCCGCCGAAAATGTACCAATACTAGTGTAACGGTGATGCTACTGATCGGGAGGCACGCGAGTAGTATGTGTTGTTCGTAGAATTTCGCTTTGCGTGGATTGAAAAATGGAATTCTGTTGCGAACTTCGCGGGGCCATTTTGTAACATTTGCTTTTACTTGACCGACGAAAAACGAAAGGAAGAAGGCCTTTGCTGCGGAGTTATTTATTCGGAAATGCCAACTGACCGGTCACAGACCATTGAACAGGGAAGCAAAACTCTAATCTGCATCTTAGTTACAAAAACTGGACACAGATCTTCTCCCGAACGAGTCTTCCTAGAGATTCGTTGCCTCCACTCATTCGTCGGTCAAATCCAAGCAAATGTTACAAAGTGGCTCCACGAATTCCGCAACAGAATTCCCTTTTTCAGTCGACGCAAAGCGAAACTCTTCGAACAACACATACTACTCGCGTGCCTCCCGATCAGTAGCATCACCGTTACACTAGTAGATATGCCTACCACTACAGCCTAGGACAACGTGGTCTCTTAAACGAAAACAATAAAGTGTGTCCCATGCAGAATGTCAGCCTGACGATGAACAGAGTTGACGCAGGAACTACACTGTCAAATCTCCGACAGCGATCTCGGAAGTCCATCTGAATTAGACCCGTTTGCCGTTAATCGGAGTTCCTGAATGACGTAAGTCACGGTGGAGATATCCTTTGGTCCTTCGGGACCATTAGTTCGTCAGGGTGTCCCAGCCTACACTTATTGGAAGGTGTTGGCCAAGATGAGTGAGATGGGTTTCGGAACATAGGCGGTTTTGTTTCCATGCTAATATGACTTGAAGACGTAGCAATAAAGAGCACAACAGAAGATCCTGGCGGCACCGGCGAATGCCGTCTACCAAGTCAATTTATCAAAGGCCCATAATGTTAATGATTAGGGAGACCAACAAAGGGATGTCCCTCAAAATTACGATATTATTGTATCTATTATTACTATTAAATATTACATATATATTATGTGCATATATGCTACTACATGATCAGCAACCCTCTGTTCTTCGTTCTTCTTTTCCACTTTCTAAGTTTGATGTGATTCTTCTCATCTCGCATAGTACGCTATCGGTCGATGTATGCTGTGGCAGTCCGAACCATCGCACACTTGTGTACGGTTCAAAGTTGTCAAACTAAACAGACTAAATATGTGTTCGGAGCCTCCGAAGATCACACTGGTTCAGTCAGGACAGGATTAAAACACAGTAGGAGTAGATGTGAGTTAGAAGTATTGAGTCCTAATCGTGTGTACATGCAATTTGCGATTGAAAAGAGTATTGGTTGCTCAGGTTATACTGATGGCCGTTTGTTTGTTCACTAAGCTAAGCAAATTTCATGCAACTAAATGTGGTTGGTTCAGGCGCACTGGTAAATTATAATGAACATTAAAAGACTAATAAAATCATTCTCCTATTGGATGACCGAACTTGAAGTTCTACTGTTTTGTTGAAAAATACACCAACCTATTCCTATTCCTTATGAATATACGTACCGTCTCAAATAATCAGGCTTTTGTCCATTGGGTAAGAATCAATCTATTTTAAAAGCCGAGAGGCGCTGCTTGAGAATCTCAAGCATTGAGCATTTCAAGAATTTCCACGAAGGTTCGAAGCTGCGACCACGGCGGGTAGACAAAGTGTGATCGGCTAACACAGACAAGATAAAAACCCACTCACTCCTTGAAAACGAAATTCACATTACTTGAGGATGACAATGATATAAAATGGTGACTAGCCGTTCAAGGGACGATTGCTCAGGTGAATATTCCACCCGTGGCGAGTAGTTCTCCCTTCTGAGCTACTGATCATTTCTTGTTGATTCAAAAGCGATTTCCCCTTTACCGCTCATATTAAGTGTGGTCTCATTTTTTGCTCACAAATATCGTCTGTCTTGAGTTTAACATTTTGTCACTATAGACATGTGCGGAACCCCCAATTTTGTGGGACAAAATACAAGTTTTGTTACAATGGAAGCTTTTTCATCTCTTCTGATTAATCGTGGAAGCTCTACTGCAAAAGTCATGGGTATCAAGTCAACAGAAATATCTCTGTAACGGTGGTTGGAAGTTTATTTGTGAATAAGATCCTATATTGCTTGTGAGTCGTGTGTTAGACAACCAAAGACCTGGCAGGTAATTTTAAGTTTCCAAGGGTCAAATCTCACTATGCGTCAAATTTGGAAACCGAAATTTTGGTGCCTTTGTTCGCAGTTTCCTCATGAGAATGCTTGGCACTTGCAGATAACATCAGGGTCACATGTTTCAGAAGAGCAAGGTGGGATATTCGAAAGATGGTGTTTGTACAAGATGCTAGCTACTGACAAATATGATGCGCAGCTTAGAACGCAGAAGTGGTCCGCGTGGTGGATGTCAGGATCTGGGAAGTTGTGCATGGCTGTATAGTACACCTGATTTGCCAACGCAGCTTCCGTTTGATAATTCTGTCTGTTTCTAAAGTCTACGTGCAACCTAACTTGCCCGGACAGTGAATTTTGCGTACGTCTGCTTGATTGTAGCTTTGTTCCGGTCCATGCCTCAGCTAGACAGGATCTCAAGCTGAAACTCTGACAAAATCTGGAAACTCTGTCTATTTTCAATCGCATAAAGACCTGAACACAGAATGCCTAGCCTGTGAGATGAGCGTGTTACAAAGGACTCAAAATTATGCGCTACAGGTGGCATAATTATAAGGTTAAAGCGTCCAAACATAAGTGATTGGATTACTCTCTACTCGACATGAATGACGAGAACTATAAATATTGCGATTTTGTCTGGCGTTCAATCCAATTTCCAGGAATTCGCAGTGAAGGATTGCTTGAGTGACCATATGATAGAATATGTAAGTGAGGCTGTCAAATGCCTTTAATTTATGATCACATCATTATTGGTTGACCTCATAAAGTGTGACTTTCTGGAGTTCAAACTCCGGGCTGCGGGGGTTCGCAATGACGGTAAGATCAAGCAGTAGCGGGATATGAGTTTAGCTTTTCCGCGCTTTCATCTAACGGTCATGACATTTGCACCCGTGCGATGGGAAGACTGTTTGGCTGAGAGGGAAGTGATTATAAATACTGACGTAATTGCACAGAACAGTCGCCTCCAACATTTAATACATGTGGGTTGAAGCTGTTGTTTGTAATACCGTTGTTTCTGATCAGGCACGAAAGACGGGGGCTTTACTAATGGTGACAAAAGATATTGAGTGATAAGTGTACTGCTAGATTACCCGCAGGTTAACAAGCATTATTCAATACTTTGGTGCATCATTCATGATATCACCATATGCTTATCAGCCATGCAATATCGTAGACCAACTTTTCCCACTCAAGGCCAAGGGGTTTAGGCAACCTCGCGAGTATAGATTGTTTCCAGCAATCTGTTGGACCACGTCGAGTTACGCGCAAAACCCAAAAAGCCAAATATTTCAAATGGAGGTTTATCTACAAATGCGGTACTATAAACACAATGATAAGATAATGAAAATTTTACAAACCTCAAATCGTGGGACTATGCCAGCTTGTATACACCAGATTAAGAACTGCTGATTCCTTACGATCTCAAAGTTCACATCGACTCAAAGCCACGTGTTTACAAGATAGAGAAGCCGTTTGTGAGCTTAAACAGCACGTCCAATGACAAGGCCAAAGAAGTTTTTGTGTTTAGGTCAAAAACGAAAGCGTTTTGAAGGCGCAAACCAAAATAACAAAAAGGGGAGAATCGCACAGTACAACATAAAAACAGAAGAAAGGAATCAACAGTGAGTGGCGTGTATTTCTATGAAACTTTTTCTGGTTTCACGTATCTGGTAAGGTCAGTACTGAAAGTTGGGAGCAACGACACTGCAGATAAAAGAGGAGCATAACGGTTTTTTCGTTGTTGAAGATTGGATTTCCCCTAAGCATATTATGGCTAACTGTTCTTCTGTTTACAATATTCACATTGTGGCCCGTGAAAAAACAATTGTTCAGTAGCTACCCAACATTTAATCTTGTCAAAAATGGCTCCAAAATCTCCCATTTTTGAAAGTTAGTTTTTAATTTTATGGAGTGCAATTTCAGCCTCTTGTAATGAGCTTTAGAGTGAAAATAATTGATTCTGCCTGCAGATAAAAATATCCGGGCATAAAACTATTTGTTTGCCAAAATTCTTCATAAGTTAGTTATTATCACCAGAAAAAAGAAAAGGTTTTTGTATCATTCTCGAGATAACTCACCGATAATCTGTCACCGTATCCGCACGTTCTGTTGAGACAGACGTTGTATCCGTGATGGTTAACACATTTTTGCTCTCTGGCAGCTCGCGACCGGCAGTCACGGATTTCTTCTGGTCGTAGAATTATGCTCACCGATAATCTGTCACCGTATCCGCACGTTCTGTTTCCAGAGACGTTGTATCCGTGATGGTTAACACATTTTTGCTCTCTGGCAGCTCGCGACCGGCAGTCACGGATTTCTTCTGGTCGTGTGAAGAATTATGCTTACTTTCGGACAGCTCGCAAATCATCGACTGCAATTTGTCCAATATTGGCTGGCTGAGTTCATGACCACTGTTAACAACAATGAATTTCTGCGGAAATAAAAGTGATGAAAAGTACAATGATGAAAGCGTCATTCAACCAGGAACTTTTTCATTAAGACGTGGCGATTTTGTGACACTGTTAAAATACAGAAGGCTAGGATTGGTAAAAAATATTAAACCACAATAAGATCTTTATTATGGAGTAAATTATTCTGGAATGATTCGCACTGGGCTTCAGTCGAAGGGTATTTTTAAGGGACTGAGTACATTCACAACGCATCTAGAGTTGGAACATACTGCTCAAGACCCTTATGACGGTCAAATCATCCCTTTGTCCACAAATTTAGCGCCTAGGTTGGAAAGCTCGAATTCAAACGGGTAATGATTAACTTTTGCTAAGCAAGATTCCCTGACTGATCCGTGATGAACGGATGACATTAAATCCCTTCCCGTTCACCTTTATTCTTCTCATGATTTTACACCAGCAAGGCGCCAGTGCTGAACAGAGATTTCATCTGCTAACGGAAATGATGGCGATGATGATGAATATGATGATGACAACACACCTGAGCAAAATGGGTAATATTTCTGTCTTCAAATTCAGTCATCAGGTACAACAACAGAAATTATAAAACACCTGAAATTTCAATTCTCACCTGGCCTGAGAGACTTGATTAGAAAATAGATCCAGAAAACATCTTATTGTATTTTGACAGTTGTGAAGTTTAGCTACGAAATGAAGACGGCATTTGGCTATCAGTGATGATTACGTGTAGTTGCCCTACTGGAAAAATTGTCTTTTTCCGTGTTTGATAGATAACGTAGATTGAGGGGTACACATTGTAATTAATATTGATTTGTTAAATGCTAGGTTGCTGCTTCATGTAGCAAACTCATTGGTTTATTAATTATTCTCCTTTAATCAGTAAATTCCTTTTCAGTCCCACGTACACATTT